AAATTATTTTATATTTATATATTTATGCAGTTTTTATTATATATTTAATTGTTATTTTTACTTTATTTATTTTAATTTTTTTGATGGCGACAAGCACATTGAATAACTGACAGAAGATGTTTACACGCAGTGCAAAAGTGGGGCAATGTCGATCGGGTTTTACAGGATTACTTAAATGAAATGAAATTAATTATATTATTATCATTAATGTTAAAATAATCTGTTATATTAATATATTATATTCTAATACTATATTTTACATTTATATTAATATATAATAATATATTAAAAATAAAACTAATCTAAATAAAAATACAAATTAAACACAAAATCAAGATGTAAACTGATCAATCGAAGACGTACACTTGAAATGCCTGGAATTACAGAATGAATCCTGGATAACTACTTAATATATCTATGATTCCAGTTTCTCTTTATAAAAAATAGCTCGAAAACAAGTAGCAATCATAATTAAAGCGTAAATAGTAAAAATATCTGAGCTGCTCAGTTTTGTGTTGGACAACAAGTTCAAAATGTTGATAACCACTGGCTCAAAGCATTTATGACATATACTTGATCAAAGTATTGATTTAAATAACCTTGTTTAATAAAGTTGTTTATTAAAAAAATTAACTGTGTAAGACTGTGCTAAAGTTTTTTAATTCGCATGAACGACAGCGCAAAAGCTCGATATAAATTATGGATGCAATTTAGGCTATGTTTACACGACAACGATGTAGTCAAAAACGAAAAAATTTTTCCCTTGAATTTTTTTAAAGTTTCACGTATACACAACAACGTTTTCAAAACGATTCGCGTTTACACATATCCGCGAAAACGGCCAAAAACGCTATATTACGAATGCCAGGCCAGTAGTTGGCGCTGTCACCTTGTTAGTAAACAGTACCTGTTGTCGTGTGTATATGATGCGTCTCCGCTGTTGGTTGTAATATTGGTGAAGTAAATCCACACTTTGCTGAAGAAGCGTTAGCAAACTCTTGAGCAGCAACAACAGTACCATGTACTCCACCATTGTTGTGTATGTTTGTTCGCGCTGGCCTTTTAAAATCGACACGTACTGCGCATGTCTACATACCTAACACATATTACGCACGCGCATTACGTCACCGTTTTCAAAGATTCCCGTATTGGGTGTTTACACAGAAACGATAACGGTTGCATTTTCAAAAACGCGCGAAAGATCATATTTTGAGCGCGCAAAAGTGCGTTTTGCACGCGCACAAACTGAGTTTTGAGGAGAAAATGTTTGTCTCGCAAAGAAGAAAGTATTTCAAACGCACGGAAATCAATTTTACATTTAAAATAAGTTTTTGGATGTGTGCAGACCTTCTCCTTTGCGCGTGCAATATTTCACTAGCTTGCTCACCTGATGCCCGCCCTCAGTGCTCGCTAAATGTCAACAGCTCGCGTGCTCAACACAACCCAGCGTTACAATGTGCCATAATTCCAGCCAATCAGAGACCGAGGCTACTAAATTCTGATTGGCTGCCTTGACAACCAATCTCAACATTTCTTGCATTACCTCGACAGCAGAAGAGGAAAAATACAGTGCATGCATAATTATTATGCAAGTTGATATTCTGATCATATTTTTTTCCAAGCACATTTGACCAATTCCAAACGACATCAATCTTAATAACTACTATTAAATAATTTATAATTGATATATAATTATTCATGAAGGCAGGAAGTGAAAAATGTCTTATAATCAGGTGTGCATGATTATTAAGCAGATTTTCTTTTACTGATACAATTAACCAAAAAAGAGATTTAACTCAGACTGAAAGTCAAAAATTATTAAATGCCCATGAGAAATATTGAATTATGGCACATTGTAACGCTGGGTTGTGTTGAGCACGCGAGCTGTTGGCATTTAGCGAGCACTGAGGGCGGGCATCAGGTGAGCAAGCTAGTGAAACGTTGCACGCGCAAAAAAGAAGGTCTGCACACATCCAAAAACGTATTTTAAATGCAAAATTGATTTCCGTGCTCTCTAAATACTTTCTTCTTTTGCGAGACAAACATTTTCTCCACAAAACTCAGTTCGCGTGCTTGCAAAACGCACTTTTGCACGCTCAAAATATGATCTTTCGCAGAATTGTGGCAGAATTGTAATCCCATAGTAAATGGCCCCTTTAAAAAAGTGTGCAATTTAAAAACCAGCATGAATCGCCTTTGCTGAAATCTGCCACTCTCTTGTTTCTTTGTCTTTGCAAGACGGCTGTTGATTTATGGATGCAGTGTGATCTCAGCGTGTGTGTGTGGCCGGTTTACGTTCCTTTGGTGCGCGTTTCGAATTTATGACGCCGACCCCGCCAATGAATCACAGACACACTCATATTGGCAAATTCCCACCTGCAGCCATTCGACGCACAAAACACACGCAACACCGGCAGTTTTCAAAGGTTTTGACGTTACTTTTATCCACAACGAGTTTCTTGGGAAATCAAGGCCTCCCGTGTGAACTCTAACAACCGTGGAGGAACACAAAGACAAATGCACCGTGAAATAAATGCATGTGGCCATCATCAAATAATCCCAAACTCATGCATATTCTAAACGCAACAGATAACTGGCCTGTATAGGTATGCTGTTGTATACTGTTGCTGTTTTAGTTAATTGCTTGTAATCACTCGTCTCTCTAATTAATATGCTAATTCCAGTGAATGCAGCTGTTCTTTAGCTAAGCGCATTCATTCTCACTGATTGGATCCTTATACAAAGACACCCTCATTAGCAAATCCATTGCTGTTAGTTAAAAGTAGGTTAAAGGGATAGATCACCCAAAAATGAAAATTCTGTCATCATTTACTCACCCTCTTGTGTGAGTTTCTTTCCTCTCTTGAGCACAAAAGAAGATATTTTGGAGAATGTTGGTAACCAATGAGTTGATGGCAGCATTGTATTTTTTTTCCATATTATGGAAGTCAATGGCTTCAAAAAAAACTGTTTGGTTACCAACATCTTTCAAAATATCTTCTGCAGTACTCAACAGAAGAAGAAACTCAGGTTAGGAATGACATGAGGGTGAATAAATGATGACAGAATTTACTTTTTTTGGGTGAACTATCCCTTTAAGAGAGAGTTTCAACTATGAAAGTCTGCGTCTGGGGGATTGTTTATGGCATATTTGTTTTTTTGAGTACCCTATATTATAGACGTCGCATAAAAAGCATGCGTGGGTGTTCGGCGTCCAACGTTAGAGCTCTAATCCGTCCGTTTTTCCCCCCCATATGCGACTTACTTTCCCACACACGCCGGTCCAGAGTGGTAGCTGTGTAACCGAGCCTCTGGTTGCCATGACGATGAGATCAGAAGTCTGGAGACGTTAAGGCCCCGCTTGCCCACTATGACCAGTAAACCCTATTCAGGTAGCAGCAATTACCCGATGGGGCCTCAAACAGACTGTGTGTGTGTGTGTGTGTGTGTGTGTGTGTGTGTGTGTGTTACAGACATGATGTCATCAGCAAACTTTTGTCTCTGGTCTTTTTGTTTGCCCCCACGTCCCCGTCCTCTCCTGTTCTTTTTGTTTTCCCCTTCCGTTTTTTCTCTCTCTCATTACAAGTGCCCTGCGCCACTGTGACTTGGTTCAACACAGCCGCCCTCTCTCTTTCTCTTCCTCCTCATGTGTCTCTTCATCTCTGATATGGGTCACCCCGCTTGCCCACTATGACCAGTAAACCCTATTCAGGTAGCAGCAATTACCCGATGGGGCCTCAAACAGACTGTGTGTGTGTGTGTGTGTGTGTGTGTGTGTTACAGACATGATGTCATCAGCAAACTTTTGTCTCTGGTCTTTTTGTTTGCCCCCACGTCCCCGTCCTCTCCTGTTCTTTTTGTTTTCCCCTTCCGTTTTTTCTCTCTCTCATTACAAGTGCCCTGCGCCACTGTGACTTGGTTCAACACAGCCGCCCTCTCTCTTTCTCTTCCTCCTCATGTGTCTCTTCATCTCTGATATGGGTCAGTGATGGGGCGCCCTGCGATGCACCTGATCAGAAAGCATACTTAAGGACCTGCAGGCACTTTGACGTGCCACGGAGAACATTACTGTAGGAGCACAACAGTAGGGCTGCAAAAGTAAAATAAATAAATAAATAAAAATCTCTATAGCAAAAATTGATTATTGTAGCAATAATAAAAAAAAATTTTTTTTCAAGTGTTCAACTTTATTTTGTATGGTATGAAACATTACAATTAAAATTTTATCATTTATTGTGTACTTTATTTTTGCTTTTCATTATTTATTAGTTTTGTTTAAATTATATCTTTCGGTGTTTTTCATATATATATATATTAGTGCTGTCAAATGATTAATCTCGATTAATCGCATTCAAAATAAAAGTTTTTGTTCATAGATGTATGTATACTGTGTATATTTATAATGTATATATAAATACAAACACATGCATGTATATATTTAAGAAAAATATGTTATGTTTATATATTAAATATATTTATATATAATATAAAATATAAGTATATAAATGTATATACATGCAAATATTTTTTAAATATATACTGTATGTGTGTGTATTTATATATACATAATAAGTATACACAGTACACACATACATATATTATGTAAACAAAAACTTTTATTTTGGATGCGATTAATCGTTTGACAGCACTAATATATATATATATATATATATATATATATATATGTATGTATGTATGTATGAATGTATGTGTGTGTGTGTGTGTGTGTGTGTGTTATATGTTTTTTTATTTAATAATTGTTATATTATTTTTTTCATGTGTTTCTATTAGTGCTTTTGTGATTAAATAAATATGTGTGCCACAAAACAGTGGCAAGTAAACTACTAAGTTGCTGCATTCATCTAGTCATTACTTTCAGTGAAGTTCATCTTGAAAAGGTTGTGAAACTTAAATCACTGTCATTACTTGTAGTTAGAGTTGGTTGGGTCAAAGGATATTTATAAAGCGCCTGCTGAAACGAGTGATTTTGTGTTTTGCAGGTCTGATTACCACAACCTCTCGGAAACTGGATCGTGAACAACAGGCTGAGCACGTACTGGAGGTGAGACACACTCATGCTAACCCACGTTCACACACAGAGCTGCGATCCATGCTAATTTGTACCCCCTCCAAATTGCAGATCAATTTTGTGAGAGACGGGAGAATTACGACAATTTTCCCTTCATATGAACGCAAGATTATCGACGTGTTCTGATTGAGTCCTATAGACGCCTGTTTGAAATTCAAAATGCTTGCTCTGCTAGTCTGTTAGTGTATGCTTAAGTGCCAAAGTGAATGATTTCGAGTGGGTGTTTTTGTGTTTGTAATAAAACCGATTTGTCATGTTGATCTTTTGAGAGCGAACTTGTCACTTACCCGTTCACCGTGTGATCCCTTAACACCCAAACATTACACAGACCAAACGCCCCTTTAATTTATTACAGCCCCCCCTCTTTTTTCAAATTTATTGCTCCCTCTCTCTTTCTCTCAGACAGACAGATTGAATTTGTACAGGCGTGGCACAGTAGTCTGTGAAAGGAAATGAATAAAGTGAATTGAATTAATCGTTCTGTTGTTGCTGCCAAGATGGATGGCGCACACCTTGTCTTTTTTTATTTTATTGTATTATTTAAATGTTCCACGGCAGTCTTCTGATTGGCCGGTGGCCACGTGCGGCCATGCTGATTGGTGGATGAGCGATGGGCATGTTTGCTAATAAAAAAGAAAAATGGATCGAATGACAGAAACAGGAAATGAGAGAAAAGCAGAACATGGCTCATCATCACTCCATTCTCTGAAGAGAAAAATTATGTAGAAGATCAGATGCAAAGAGAATCTTATTTCTCCTTTCCTGTCCATCTACTGTATAATCGGGTTTTACCATGAATAGTAGTGTTTACTAAGGCAAGCATCTCTTATGCTATTACGCATGCTTCAAGTTTGATCTGAGCAAATCTGCAACTTGCCCCACAATTAAATTAAATTAAATTAAAATATTTCTTGAGCAGCAAATCAGCATATTAGAATGATTTCTGAAAGATCATGTGACACTGAAGACTGGAGTAATGATGCTGAAAATTCAGCTTTGATCACAGGAATAAATTACACTTTAAAATATATTTACAAACAAAACAGGTATTTTAAATTGTCATAATATTTCATAATTTAACTGTATTTTTGATCAAATAAATGCAGCCTTGGTGAGCATAAGAGACTTCTTACAAAAACATTAGTGTTTTGAATGTGAATGTGAGTGTGAGTTTTATCCTCATGTTCATTGCTGTGGTTTTGTGTCCAGGTGACTGTATCAGATGGTGGTCCTTCTCCCAGACACACCACAGTATGGGTGGTGATCCAAGTGTTGGATGTTAACGATAACAAACCAACGTTTCCAGAGAAGGTGTACCAGGTCCGTTTACCCGAGCGCACCCGTAAACAGCGAGGCGCTCCTATATATCGGGTGTTCGCCTATGACCAAGACCTGGGCGCCAACGCTGAACTCTCCTACAGCATCGTTGATGGCAACGAGGACGGGAAATTTGTAATCGACGCCAAAACTGGTGTGGTTTCATCGCCCAAGAAACAGTTCACAGCTGGAACCTATGATATTCTTACCGTGAGTCACCTTTGACCCTTGAGCTTCTGAATGAAGTTATGCTGCGTTCACGCCATATCGTAATTACTGTAATTTCGAGATGACAGCACGTGACGTTCTACTCGGAGCTGTTCACGTCCTCGGACTCGGAATTATGCTTTCCTATGGCAACACTATCAACGCCTAAACAGAGCCTGTGGTGGTCAGGTGGTATAGCGGTCACGTGGTACAATTCGTAGCTCTCAGAAAACTCCCAGTTCACAATTTGTAATTACGAGTTTTATGAGAACGTGAACGCTTTTTACAAGTTGGAATCTCGTAATTACGGGAATTCCGATATAGCGTGAATGCACCTTTAATCTCGCACATGTATGTGATTATAATACGAAATAGCGTTTTATATTATGTGACTAAAATTTAATTAAAAAAATAAAATAAAATAATAACAAATAAAGTAAAAACAATACAAGTATAAATAAGAAAATTTAATTAAAACTAAGAAAATAAAAATAAAACAAAATAAAATAAAATAAAAAAGAATAATAAATCAAGACAAAACATTAATAATATAAAATATAATAATAAAAGAATAAAAAGAATACCATAGAATAAAATAGAAAAAAATTAAGTTAATAATAAAAATAATAAAATAATAACTAAAATTATATAAATAGAAAATAGAATAATAAAATAAAATAGAAAAAATTAATAAAATTAAAATATAAAATAAAAAATAATGATAAACTTGATAGACCATCTTGGCCATGCTGTTTAGAGCTGTTAAACCACTTTGGTAATGCACCACACTACCTGACATAAACGAGCTTGACCACCTTGAAATGGTATGATCTATTTTTTTTTATTTTTTCCCCCACCTAACTGGAATTATATAAACCATATATATATATATATATATATATATATATATATATATATATATATGTGTGTGATAGGATAAGAAATATTCTCAGAAGTGTAAACTCAAAGATAATAATTTCCAGGTCTTGTAAAACTCTCAGCACATATATCAGCTCAATTCTCTTAATGAGGGAGTTGACATTTTAAATTCCTATTTCTTGTAAAAGGTTTGTTCTTTTGTTTGCATTCAGTGCAAAGGTCAGTACTGGATGCATTCTTCCATTTCAGTTCAGTCCTTTTAATGTTCACTTGCCTGGTATTCTTGTCTTCCTGATGTGTGTTTAACCTCTGACCGCAGGTGAAGGCTGTGGATAATGGACGTCCTCAGCGCTGGGCGACGGCTCGTTTGCACATCGAGTGGATCCGCCGTCCACCGCCCAGCCCTGTTCCTCTTGCCTTCGATGAGCAGCTTTATAATTTCACTGTCATGGAAAGCGACAAAGTGGCAGACATCGTAGGCGTGGTGTCCGCTCAACAGCAAGGCTCCGCCTCCTTGTGGTTTGACATCACAGGTGAGTGCTTGGATGGGTTATGTTAATGTGATGATCTGTGCAATTTAGGTTACTTTATGGACGTGGAATTGCTGTAAAAGTGGATTTTTAGCATTTAGTGAAGGATTATGGCAAAATGAATCTCAGGGATTGGAGTTTATTGTATGTTTAATTAAAAAAATTTAAAAAAAATTTTTTTCAATTTTAAAACTAAAAATTTTAAATGATGTGTTTGTACTTTATTTATGATCAAAATCCTTAAATATATATATTATTTGATTATTATGCTTAGACCAGATGGGTTACGATTACAGTTAGGTGAAATTAGAGTTGGCGGGAATGTTTGTGATTCACTGCATGATTTGTGGCGTTGTATTGCTATGTTTTGCCATTCCACGGTCACCATGGCGATTGCTTGCCGCTGTCTGTATCTATGGTGAAATAAGGTTTGTATACACACAAACAGACGACTAATACAATGAATATTATATTATATTTTATTGTATTGTATTACATTACATTACATTACAATCTATTACATTATGACCAAACATTCACTGCAAAAAAGTAAAAATGCAGATTAATGACTTATACTGCCCTGATATATTACATTGCATTGCATTGCATTGCATTGCATAATATCAGTGGTTCCCAACCTTGGTCCTGGAGGCACCCCAACACTGCAAGTTTTGCATGTCTCCTTAACACTAGAACCGTACAACATACGGTTTAAATCGTACATAAAATAGTTTTAATAAAACATCCAAGTCTCTTTTACTAAAAGTGTGTGATTTACAATCCCCTGTTGTTAAAAACTGTTTAGATAAAACCAGATCAAAAAACAGGGCATTTTTACCTATAAGCGCCAGCGCGGGTCAAATTTAACCGCTATATTACGCCTGTATGTTCGCGCTGTCATTTTCGTGCTGCTTATGTTTTAACATAGTACTAGGCAACACCTTTCACTCACTGAATTAGCGGTTATCAGTTTCATAAATAAAGACAAAATGAGTAAAAGTAGGCGATTTATGAATGCTGAAGAGGTATAAGAAGCACTAAATGCCATGAGCGATGGAGAGTCTGATGGTGGGGAGATAAGTAAAGCGTCCTGTTGGCTCAGCATCTGACGGCGATCAATATATCATATTTAGACGTTTTATCCAAATGTTACTCATAATTGTTCAAAATTTGGATTAATTATATAACTTTTGTTTTGCCATTTCTATCGTGTATTGTTCGCTTATGCTATTTATTCTAGTCTGCCTGTTTCCTGAAGAAGAAGAAAAATCAGATCTGATGTAGGCTAATGAATAAAACCTTTTTTTTTTATTACCCGAAGTTTATTGGTGGTGTTCATGTATAATTCAAATTATAAATGATATAACTAAACAAATTAATAATTAATTAGGCGAAGCTGTGCGCTTGAATTTGTCATCATCATCCTATGCAATGTGGTGAATTATTATTGCTCATTATTGTCTATAGGCTATTTTAGT